TATATATTTACTAGCGAAAATCCTTACGCAACGATCAGAATGGCCTTTATATCGAACTAAACGACTAGGAAATCCATATTATTTATTATAATTATTTATCGACTAGATTTTTCTATATCTACTATTTTAGAGCAGACTAGAAGAAAGAAGGGTTTTGGAGAAGCAATGGCACTACGATGGGCCCGTCTATATTCAAAACAAATTCCGTGTGTACGAAAACGATACTTGCTATAATCTAGAGATTTTAGATTTCCCTATTATATTTGACAGAACTTTACATTCAAGATTTTCAGAATTCCCTCCTATAAACTCGGATCTTTCGATTCCACTACGCGACCCTTACCTTACAAACATCCTAGACGGCACTACACTCCCCAACTAAAATGACTATAGACTCCCTTATACCGTATAGATATAACCCAAAAAAACATGCTACTCATATATCTATGAGAACCTATACGAGAAAAATATATTTATCTAATAAATCAAAATATTTATATAAGAAAAATCATAAAATAATCGATTTCTCTATATATTTTATCATGAGATTCCATACATCAATAAGAATCACCAACAGAAGAAGTACGCGAGCCACTGATCAGACATATTATTTTACCTTGAGACCTTACCTCACCCTCGCAAACTCGACAACCCATCAAGATAACCGTCTATAACCAAGAACTATTTACTACGAAAGAACAAATCATCCAAGAAATATTCTATCTCTTATACTTATTTCGCAATCTTCTTTTTCGCTTAGTTATAGTAGAAACGAGAACCAAAAAGAATCAAAATAATCAAGAATCTATACTTTATTAGTAATTCTAATTATAAGAGAATCATATTAATTTTTGAGTCATAACTTAACACTAGAATCCCCTTACTAGAACTAAAAATAAAAGAACCAATTTTAGGATATCTTTTTAATAATAATGAAACCAAACAAGAAAGATACAATAGAATTTAATTCTTTTATCCAATTCTTTCTAACGATTATAAATAATATGAGAAGAAAGATATGATATTCGTATTAGTTTTTTGAGCTTACGAAATATCTTTCTTATTAATAAGATCTATATTTTATATGAATTTGAAAGACGAGAAGAGAGATATATCATGTTTATAAATGTATTATTAATATATCCTTCTGACGGAAAGCGACTTGGCACGATTTGAACTTATTCAAACGAAATATCTCCGTGTTATGGCGGGCCAAATCGCTTGTGAGAATATTGTAATTGATGCGTCTGAAATCAAAATCGATGTAGCTTCCGTAGCTTATAGGGCCAAGTCTAACGAAATTATTCGTGAGACCCTAGGTGGGGACCTCGTTCGCTCTGAGCTGGTGTGTCGCAGATTCAAGTGGTTGCAGCGGATAGCTGTAAATCCAGCTGATCGCAAAATATTGCTTGCGCTTGTTGCCGGTCGGTTGCAATCCGAGGTAAGCAATACGTTTGATGTCAGTGGCCAACCCATACTGACGGCCAGTCCGTAGGCAAAATAATGGCATACAGATTTGTTGCTTCTTCAGGAAACGACTGGTCTCAATTTCTTGCATCCGAACGGGTTTTGGTCAATCTTTACACCGGATTGCTTGTTCCGGAAACTTGATGCAGGACAGGTGCGAGCTTGGTCGGACCGTGGCAGGGAGCCTCGCCCAGCTACTGTCGAAGTACTTGCTTGCCCGTTTGTTTTGCCCGGAGGCGTGCAATGTGAGTTTGTTGGCCATAGTAGACTGTCGCTGCAGGTCCACTTGGCTGCAAAACATAATATCCGGAATCCTTTCAAGAATGCTATGATTACCAACCAGTATCCCTTTTGTCTTGCGGTCATCAAAAACGAGCAGAGCGCTCGGCAACACGCAGAGCGTCGTGGTGCCACAGGGCTTTCCAAGCATGTATGTCGGTATCCGCTTGCTGGTCATATAGATGATGTTGCGCAGCCGATATCCTTGCTATGCCCGTTTTGTGACTTCAGTGCCAAATTACCGCAATTACAAGCACATATAGCAGAGCACTTCGCAGGTGGAAGGTCATCTCACTTAGAGGTGCAACTGCGCCGCAAGAAATTCAGCTCGGTACCCTGCCCTTCCCTAAGTGCCCCTGATTTGAGTGAAGGTCCTGGTTCTGTTGGGGTGTGTTGGTCTGGTTTAAGCACCTCTTGTAACCCCTCTAAGTCCTGGTATAATGATGCCTGATGGCGTCTGTCGCCAGCCGACGATGCCAAAGAAGTGCGGGAATTGTATGGCATTTCGCCAAAGGAGATATGATGGTGGCGTTTATCGCCTGAAGAAGAAGCCCGTGAAAGAGCAGAATTATACGGGAGTCATCCTTCGCTAGTTTCGTAACAGAACTTTGCAAACAAGAATCATGCGCAAGTCAAGATCATCTCCTTTTTCGTTTTCCGACAGCTCGAGACCAGTTCCAGCAACCTCGCCGGTAGTACTCTTCTTGGCCATGGACCGGTGGTTGGCAGGCGACGACGCAGAGCCGCGATCGCAAACGGGGATAGGCGGCGAAACAGACCTCGAGCAAATCAAGGAACTTGTATTTCCGTAGCCGAACTCGCTCTCGCAACAGCAGCCATAATGAGGAATCACGACGCAGCAATCCTACGCACTTGGATGGTTCCTGCGACCAGCGTATACGCCGTGGCGAGCATCAATACCGGGAAGGACTATCATCAATAAGTGAAGATTTTGGAGCGCTCTCACGACCTCGGGAGTCCTCACCTGCGTATCTGGACCAATTTGGTGATGATAGCCAGAACCGACAAAGCTCTCCCAGAGCCACAGCGCACACAGATCTCGGAGCATGCGGACTCCGTGACGGACCCAAAGGATATCGAAGCCTTGGTGGCGATCTGCAATATGAAGCCTGCCTATAATAAGGAGTTCTTGCGGATGCAGCTCAAGGTTCATGCGGAAGCGGAATCCCTCGTGGCCATCATCGAGTGAGCGTTGCAGAAGACCGGCGGGGAGCAGAAGCATGGAATAGCACCTCACGGTCCTAAAGAGCGCAAAATAGAAGAGATTTTGGAGATCATGGGATTGAAGCATACGCCGGTCACCAGTGAGAGCTGAAGCTGTGAAACTTTGGTTGGCATCTGCAGCTTAAGAAGGAAGCGTGCAAGTGCTACCATATGTGTCACTAGCGTAAATACCCAATGCTTGTGCCCCGGACCTCAACGGATCCGTTCACGGAATCGGAATAAGAATAGAATCATATATCCTTATTTCGAATTATCTTTCATATCAATAGAAACGATATTCGTGCGAAGATAATATCAGAGAAACGAATATATATATATATATATATATATATATATTTAATTATCTAGAAATATAGAAAGAAAGAAGAGGTCCTAATTTAATTAGAATATCAGATAATTAAATAATTTAAAATATAATCGAAGAATATTATTAATATAATAAATATATAAGATTAATTAAATCACTTTTTCTTGATATTATACGATATTGGAGATAATTTATATATATATATATATATCTATCTAATACTATAATTCATATTTTTTCCCAATATAAATTGAAATATAATATATAATATATTCATATGATATAGGAGTTTCCGAAAATAGGGCCCCCTAATATAGTTCCCTAAATAGTAGGACCCTTATTATAAGGGCCCCCAAATAAGGTACCCCTAATCGGAAACTCTCATATATATTACATATACAATTACCACCAGATAACCTTTAAAATATATCCCACAACACGCAATACAATACATAGCCAGGCGTCTAGCGTTCCCAACCCCCCCCTAATGGTATGGTCTGCTAGGGATGGGGCGGGGGGGAGACTAGCGTGGGCGGAACGGGGTCGACGCCGCTATAATTGCCACTAGATGGTGGAATAGTGCTAACCCTATAATACAACGTGATCCCTTATTTAGAAAAATCTTAATTTATACTTAATATCTTATACCCAACCCTAAATCCCACCTAACCACAGGCTCTAAATCTAAAACAAAATATATCGAATAATTCCTCTCTAAGCCCTTATCGATTCGAAACCTTATATCTCAAATCCTAAAATCTCATAACCATCCCTCAGGGAGAATAGAAACCCGGGGAAATGGGGGGCCGGAACGCGTAATTATATACGCAATCTCACGGCACCATACGCGCACTATACATAATACTAGGCATTTTCCTTTAGAAGATTTTAGAAAGATCATCAATTTATTTATCATCTTCTACGGATCTATTCACGTAAGAATATCCGACCCTTTAATTGAAATAGATTTTCTCTTCTAAGTAAAGAAATTCATTTTCCCTCCAATTTACGTTTAATTCTTATAATTTATTCAAATGATATTTTATATATTCAATAGTTTGAACGATTTGTCAAATATCTCTAAATTTATAATTATCTACTAACTTCTTGAGATTTCTCGATGTAAATTATCAAATCTCCTTTATCATCGTCCGAATTTGTTTTATTAATAGATCTCTTGAATTAAATTTTCTTCCAAAACTCTATGAGTAAGATCAGAAAAAGAATATAATACTTAATATTCTTCGTTTTGTATCAACAAGCAAACAAATCTATGAAAGTGTTTCGTCTTCTTAAGCAAAGGTTTATCTGAGAGAAAACAGTTTGAAAACAACATATATATATGACTTATGGGGCCAAAATTGAGAGCGACTTGTCACAGCCCTTTCGTATGCGCACCATCATGTGATTCCAATCGAACCTCTGTATGCCCAGCGGTACGTGTTAGCACGATCCGATTAAAAGTGGGAGTCAGGCACACTCTTTGCTTGGTAATCTGCTGCCTCTTCCTTGGTTGGACCAGCCAGCAGATGGCAAAGATCGTCAATACGACACCCTCAACTCGCGACGTGTTGTCGCCTAGGATACAGTCGGATACGGGATCCGAGCCATCCTTAAAATCATTGGCTCCAAAACCCGTAAAAACCCTAAAGTCATTGGCTGCAAACAATTACGGCGATGCTTGAAACATGGGCATCTCGCCTCAGAAATTCCCGTGCGATTCAGCTTCGGGCTCGTCCTGCCAGCTTAGGGTTTAGAGGGTATAACATAGCATCACCTCAGTGTAAGCTGGTTAGATATACCCCTGGTATAGTACAGTACTTGAAGGATCATGGGAATTAGTATGAGAGTCTGACTCCAACAGGCTGCATGGAGTTATGGTAGTTTCACCGTATGCAATCGGACCTCACGACGCACCTTCCAACCACCCTGCATCAGAGAGGTTGGAAGGACATTATCACTTGGAAGGTGCATCCTCGGATTCGTAGTCCGACTCCGGGTCAAGGCCCATCGGCCCGTGCTCGTCATATCGATGGTCTCCCTTCCTGAGCAGAAGCCCAGATCCAAGAGGTTTGCTGTTGAATGCATGGCACACAAGATCCGACAGTTGCCCTAAAAAGACGGATCATGCCGCGAACTACTCAGCAGTATCAAGAATATGGAACATCACAGCCCTTTCGCTCCTGCATGTCCAGAACAACAGCTGCACTGGTTCGTGCTCTACGAAGACCACCAGGCTGCTGTCGGGCAGGTTTAGGAACTCAAGGTATTCTTTAGCGGGCAGTCTTGATTTCATGATTTTTTGTTTTTTTGTCGAAGCTTTTGTTTGTACTGGCAATCCTGGGGCCAGCGATGCTGCTTTCGAAATCGGATCGAACTCGACACTGCGGCTACGGCCAAAGCCGACACCTCATGGTCAGAAATAAACAATCGAACGTGTATCATAAACCAGCGCGAGTTTATTGTGAACTGCGTTCTGGTGCTAGCGCACGGCCCAACAAGACAGCGCTGCATGCAAGCTCCTACACACATGAAGCCCAAGACCGAAAGACAACCTTTCAGGCAAAGTCCCTGTTCTTCCGAGGTCGTGCCGAGCTGCGGCTTCTCGGCATAGACGCTGTTGCCATCGATATCGGTCTCTTCCTCGATGTTGTAAACCCACATGGCAATCGAGGACAACACTAGCGCCAACCACTGCTCCATGGTGAGCTTGCGTGCGGACGGTCCGGCAAAAATCTCGTACTGGCTGAAGATTCCACAGAGGTTGCCGCAAAGGATGGAGCCGATGGCCGCCCAGGTACCTGATAGCCGCTTGATGAGCCACAAGAAAAAGAGGTTGAAGAAGACGTTGAAGAGGAGGTAGAAGCCAAACCACACATAGGCGGGCTCAGCATCGCAGCTAGTAACCTCGGGCTTGGGGTTCGTTCCCATAAAGCAAGTCCAGGAGTCTGCCAAATCTCTACCCAACTTGGAGGGAGACTGCTCGTTCTTGCCCCCAGGCTCGGGCCATGGAATCCAGTTGAGCGGGAACATCAAGAAGCCCCAGATCACCTGCCACATCCCAGCCCAGAAAAAGGACCACATCACGTCCAAGTTCACTTGCTTCAGCTTCTTCTGCTTGTAGCAGTTCGAGAACGCAGAAGGGATGATGGCCACAATAAAGAGGGCATACATGAAGAGAAGGATGCCGAAGTCCACATGGACCAGCTCCCCCTGTGCGTTCTTGTAGGGAGGAAGGCCGATGACACCTGCTGCGCTCTCTACCGGAGAGCGGCAAGAGTGAAGGAGGCCAAAATTCTACAACCACTGAACTGGTGACGTGGATGGGACTTGGCAGCCCGATGAATTTGCATCCAGAACATCGAGTCTGTTTTGGGTTGACGGGTCATGCTGATAGGAAACCAAAGCAGGACTGCAAGGTCTTCTTTGGAGCGCTTCACAGCCCTGCTCTGCGCATGACCACCGGACAGGGAAACACTGCCCGACCTGCTAGTTGCTGAGCCACCCTTCATCCTATGGCAACCTCTTCAGCCTGGATAGGGGTGCAACCGAGCTCGCACTGACCCGATCGAAACCAAGCACTCTCCCTGCGGTCTCAGCTAAGGCACAATCATCTGAGGCCTTCGTGACCGTTGCTCGGACCGATTCCGGAACCAGGGCAGCAACCGAAGATTGGCTCATGGCTTCCTCAAGGGCCGGTTAAGCTCAAAGAGATATTGAGATGTCATGGAGTCATGGAGATCTACACTGAGCTCACACTGCATGATCATTAGTATAGGTGCTAGTAATATTCCTGCCGATCTCGACTACTTCTCTATCTTCTCTTTCTGTGTCTTTATCCAGCTACAGCACGGCCTATGCCGGGTATCCCTGTTCAGCTGCAGTCAGGAGCCTTGCCCGAAGCCAAGATCCTATGCTGTAAACCCAGATAGCCTTACAAATTCTTCCCGAAACATCCCGCCGGTGGCCGTCCTTCGCCTGTTTCAGCCCCTTGCAAAGGATAGGGTCAGGGCCCTGCAACTCAACCACGACACCCACCTGGACTTTGCGTTGGTTCTTCGTGCTGGGGCCCTCGAATACCACATCCGCAGGGGATATGGTGGGGGACAGTGGTCCAGCACACGAGGATTTATATAGCTATGGGTATGATGGGCTCCAGGCCTACGCTAATTCGATGGGGTCTTATGCATGGCTTCTGTTAAAGGGTCTGCATGCAAGGGTTTGGGGAAGGGGGTGGGGAGGGTATGTAGATGAGAAAGCTGAGCTCAACTTGGCTTGCACTTATAGTTGCACCTTAGGCAGGTATGGGTATGGAAATCAGAAAACTGAGCTGAAGATGTGCGGAGTTGGCTTGCACCTACGAAAGGCTCTCCTAGTGACTGTGTAGGTTCCGTATGTATCGACAGAGACCACAAAAACCTTTGCAACATAGAGCCGGCATCGAGTGAATCCTATCTGAAACAGAAAGTTCCCAGGCACGCTCTTTCCAAGTGCGAACATCAGAACCGTCAGGGGCTACAGCACTGTTGACTTGACTGGGACAGATCTACAAGATTTTCGCATCTAGACCCAAAGTCCCAAAGTTCAGCAACTTCGAGATCCAGCTGTGCAGTGCAAGAAACAAGAGGCACACCCTGCCCCATCATCCACCGAAGGAGGATTTCCGAATCTACCAAATCAGGAGACTGCTTCACGTGCATACATGTCGATGTACTAGTACACTTCAGTGTCACCTCTCATGTTCTATGATATACGATACAGATGTGCATTTGCAAAGGTGTATGTATGGGTACACATGCACCTGTATGTGCGCATGGTTGACTTAGGTTATACTATGTCATGTATTTACGTCTGTATGTGTGTATGTGCATATTTGTATGTAATCTCCATACGTATGTCCTTATATATGTATATATGTATATATGTATATACAAATGCATACACAGACATATTGCATATATTGTATGTATTAATTACGTATAATTACGTAGTATACATGTATTATATGTGTATGTATGTATACCTATACATATATGGTGGATGTATACATACATATGTATGTGCAACTGAGATTTTGAGCACGCGACGAGGCAGGCACAAAGGATGAGGCTGATTCCGGCATAGTGGACCATCTTGTAACGGGTCTTCAGGTAGAAGAAGGCGATAAAGGCCTGGTTGCAGAAGTGATACCCTAACTTCTAAAGGACACACCTAGGCTCCTACGCCCCCCCCTAATCGCAAAAACATCCCAAGCCCGAAACGATGAGGTGTGAACCGAGAAGCGGTGAAGAGTACGTTCAAGTTGTTCAGCGGCGTCTGCAGTACCATCGGAATGAAAGGACCGGGTGGTGCCTGGTCGCTCTCAGATGGGGTAGACTGGCCAGGTATGGATTTGATACGCGGAAGGTCATTGCTGCTACCTGGGTTTGTCCATCCAAGTTGCTATGACAGCGTCGGTGAGACTCTTTATCCGGCTTGCGTAATGACATCAGGCCACTTGCGACATTCCTGCGACACACCTCTCGCGTCCAGACATGGCAGGTATCTGTCGTGGACCTAACGATGCAATTCATCGGCGAGCCCGGAATTCCCGAAACCCCGCACAACCTCCGGAATCGTGGCCGGGATGCGCTGACGATGGCATTCAACTGGTCCCAGAAAGCAAACCTGGATACTCAAAGCAGAGAGACCGCTTCCGAAAGTAGGGTCGTTTCTTCTCGGGATGCCCTCTGAATGCCCTCTGGATGCCATTGCAATGTGCAGAACATAAGATCTGCCAGCCTAACGTGAGGCATTCTTTCGTCAGGGAAGAGGCAAATGCCAAAGAAGCTTGAATGCCGAGCGTCTGGGCAATCCAGCACTGCGGCACAGGCCCCTGCGAGGAAGCCCTGGCAACGGAAAAGACTCAGGATGCGTGACTGTTCGCCTCTTGGCATTCTGTGCTCAAGTAGCCGCGACTCGCCTTGGGCTGAAGGGAGAGAACCACCTGCAAGGAGGCTTGCTGCCAAGAGGGGAGGAGAGTGCGATCAATGCAACGGTCGTACAACTCAACGTGGAACCAGTAAGGCCAGATATGATATGTCGAAGAAGTAGAGAGCTCCGTATGCTCATAGATAGTTGCAAGATTCCGAAACCTCCTTCACTCCTCAAGGGGTCAACCGGCACCGTGGAGATGCAGAGAAACTGTGCTTCGAGAGTCCATCGAGGTTGCCAGCAAGGTACTAGCAAGCTCAATGTTTGTAATATAGGGGCCTGGTTCCGTGTCATAATTATAGTGTAACGGGCCCCAAAACCCCATTCTAATTATTAAGGCCCCTATATCAAGTCGACATGTTGACCCAAGAGCCCGGAACCCGGGGCGCCTCATGTTGAAGGACTTGTCGCCGTCGAGGTAGCGTTTGCGGGCAAGGTACCCGAGAGAGACGAAGAAACACATGAGCTGCACCATCGGGGGCCAGTAGAGGCTCATGACGATGCCTGGACCAGGTGTTTCGTGGGGTCTCAAAGAAGCCTGGTCCCACGCCAGGCTATGTTTCACGAGGTGTATGTGGAACAAGAAAGGGAGGAATGAGGAACCCTGGATTTTGTGAGTCCTTAATTATACTTGTGAACGAATCAGGCTTGTCGCAGACATGCGAAGCATCGGGTGCAATTCAACTGGAGGAGGGAACTTTCCTGTAGGGCAGTACATCGCGAAGCACAGGTTCTCTTCGGATGTGAATCTGTACCGTTATCTACAAGCAATGCTAGAATGCTAGAAGTCCCGTCACCGAGGCTTCCGACGCCAGTTAGGGCTTCAAGGAAAAGTATTCTGATTCTGACATAAGACATAAGCACACTAGCCAGCGGTGGAACAGCAAAGCATCACCAAGATGGGCCTGTATAGTTCTGCATGGATTTCTGCACTCTGTAGAGGAAGATGCGATCCATGGCCCGGATCAAGACAAAGAGCACGAACACAACCGGAATCAACATCTTCCTCAGAGCCAGGTCGGCGCACAATTGTGCTGTCGAGTTGGCGCTTAGAAGCAGCGATACAGATTGGGCAGGGGTTCTGCCTTGATTAAAGAAACCGCCTCGGGGCAAAGTGCCAAGACACCGCGTTAGCCATGCACCACGTCCGACAGTTAGCAGGAAACGAAACAGAAACCCAAACTCGCCAAGCTTTGCGAAAGGCGGCTCTTTGAAGGTCTTCTGCGCCGCATTCTTTCCTGCCAAGGGGTTGCGTCAGGGCCGGCAACTTTAGCAACGAGGGTCGCGGACTGTTCTTCCTTAAGTCGGCCATGGGGTTCCCTCTAAAGGGCTCTATATAATTATAAGGGTTACAAAAACAGATCTTTCAGGGTACTATAATACAGGGGCCTTGATAATTCGAATAGGGTTTTGGGGCCCCCTTATATGATAATTATCATAAGGAACCCCCAAAAGAGTATTGCAACTATTTAGGCCCCTATAGTATATGCCCTAAGGCACCTCGTGATTTGTGTGCCGTTTCAGAGCAAAAAAACAACCAGCACGTAGCCAGGGAGTGACAGCAACGGATGGATGGGGGCCGCTCGAATGCTCAAAAACAATCAACTGCAACACGCCAGCATTGTCAGTGCCGTTGAAGCTTGTACGTCAAAGGGCAGGCTACGTGTGGAACACACAACAACAAGAAAAAAACAACCCACGACCTAGACGGCCTAGATCTGAAGCCCCTGACTTAAACCCTAAACCCGGAACACCCCAAAGCCACAACACCCTAATATAGGGGCCTTATAGACTTCAACTATAATAGGGATCCCCCAATATAGTATAGGTAATTATATTATGGACCCTTTTTTAAATCCCTAAAGATCCCAAAGTCTTCAGCTTTGCACAAAACCCCGGAGACAGAAGGCGCCTAAGTCGTCATCCTCAGAGACCTCCTGGGCTTCCAACGCCCGAAAGCCTGTGGATTTTCACGCTTTGTTGGGGGTTGTCGGGCTCAGGGTTCTTAGGGTGTACTTGGAGGATCATGGGACTTAGTAAGTAGGGTGAAAAGTACCCTAATTGGATTATAACTGTACTTACCTTGCTTATAACCCCAGTTATCAAGTCCCACGATCCTTTAAGTAAGGCTTCTGGGCTTGGTTTGGAGTTTAAGCGTTAAGGTGTTCGGATTTATCCTTTGGCTTTGCGGTTTATAGGATGCAGTGCATATGAGAATCAGGATGTTTGGGAACAGCGGATGCACTAACCGGTGGATGGCAACACTATCGGGCCTAAATAGTCAGGGGGGGTACTGTACTATAACTAAAACCTAAAAACCCTAAGGAACAGCATTGGTGACTTATTCAGACCCACATCTTGCGAGGCCTGGGGCCCAGCCCCGAGAGTGGGGATCCAGGCTGCCATGCAGCATCTTCATCGCTGAGTCTTGGGGACTTGTTTCGACTGTGTCCAAACGCTAGACCCCAATCCGTTTAGGGTTTCCTTGAAGCTTGCACCCTGCAACCTTGCGGACCCCGAGGGAAATCTTCTATGTGGTGAGCGGTCTTGTTTCAGCATCCCGCAAAATGCCGAAGTAATATAGGCCCGACGCAGCGCTCTTGTAATCTTGGGACCCCGAGCCTGAACCTGACACCGCCCAGAGCCTAAATCCGCAACCCCCAAACTTCAAACCCCAAATCTCCAAAAAAACCTCTTCACCTCAAACCCCCTGTTTGAACCCTACACGGCCCTTTGTTGAACCCTACACTGCCCTTTTTGAACCCCGGTAACCCCTCTCTGAACCCTAAATAAAAGGCTCTTGTTGACACCTAGGCGGCCCTAAATCCTAGGTCCGCATGGGGCGAGGCGGGCCTTGAGCGGCCTCTTTTGCTGCCCGCGACATGGCGTTGCAGCGGGGGGCAGGGCGTCTGTCTCGGGCCTGAAGAAGACGGTTTAGGGTGTTGGCTGTAGGACTCAGGGTTTAGGAGTTTAAGGTTTAGGGATGTTTAGGGTTTAGGGTTAGTCGGGTAGTTTTAAATTTAAGGCTTTCGGGTTGAAGGTTTCGGAGTTCAGGGAGCTCAACGTCAAGGCTGCTTCCAAGGCTCCTTGGCATCATCCTTGCCCGAAAACAAGAAAGAACAAAAGAACCAAGTCCAAGATCCTCCAAACAGGATCTTGGCCTTACTTACTCCGCGTGCCCCTGGCCTGAGACTCGAAAAGCCCACTGAACTCAAGGGTGCGGCTTCACTGACGATTTTCCAGGACCCAAGAGCATGCGGTCAAGGCTCGCCTCCTATCTTTCCTCAAAATTTCCGCAAGGACTCACCACGAGAAGAGCTCCCCAGAATAAAATCATGAACACGACGGTAGCACTCCGAATGCTGAGACGCGTGGAGGAAGTGTAAAGCAAAGGGCTCGTGGAGCAACCCTGCTGGAAAGCATCGCTACATTGCTGCTTCCCCACTTCCCATCTGATGTGTTTGAGGTCAATGGATGGCGAGTCAACAACCATAAAGAACCTGTTTCCACTGACGATTCCGACGGGCAAGCGGCAAATCAGTAATAAATGGGCTTCTGATGACGGCGGGTCCTTTCCGAGCTTCGCAAGTGCCGTCTCGATCCTACGCCCACCTTGTGAAGGACAGCCCTTCATCGTCCAAGTGTGAGTTTCAGAGCTGCAGCTGCACCATGCAATCACAGCTTCCTTCAGCAATACTTCACATGCCGCACTTTGGGAGAATCGAACACTGGGCAAACCTTCTTTAGAGTTGCCGGTCATCTGCGTGCTTCCGACACCCGGATTCAATCTTTCGGAGACTAATACATAGGCCTTATAATGGTTACCTAGACGACAGTATTGCGGGGGTTCCTTGTTCTAATTCTTACAGGGGCCTCTATTACCGAAGACCCCGCCCTTGAGACTTCAGCAACTCTTGGAAGGCCTCCCAAGCTGTATAAGAAGAAAATAGCCTGTTTACAAGCCCCACCAGGTGGCAGCGCCAAAGAATGTGGGTGCTCAGGGTTTGCAGAAGCATGCAAGAGATTTCCACACATGATCTTGCGCTGCGCTATGGACATGAATGGGAAGAGGTGACTGCAAAGATGAAAGCAGGCTTTGCGGCAAGTCCAGGTGTCAACGTTCATTCTCTCAGAGCATGAAGGTGTCAGTGTCAAGTGTCATTCACGGTCAGTGTGTACTGCATTGACGAAAGGAAAGAGCTTGAGTTTCCACACAACTACCTCACGATACTCAGCCAGGTTCCATGCAGTTGAGACTTCCATGAAGTTGAGACCATGCATGAGCGACGCACTACCTTTCTCTGGCCTGAGACTTGGTACCAAACGAAACGGGGCAAACAGGTGCTTCCATGAATACCAGGCATGTATTGCGCGCAAATGAAGGCCTGAGCACACACCTGCGCCTGGGGGGCCCCCTCCCTCCACCGTGTTGGTGAAAGGAACGGGGCACTAGATCCCCGAATCTGCAAGCACGTCGTGAAGCGATGAATTTATCTTGAGGAGTTGTCGCGGTGGTTCTGGATTACAGCCTACAGGAATAGGCAGGATGTAAGGCGTGCGTGTGGGCAACACCCTGTCAATGCCACGGACAGAACATTCATCGACTTATTGCTGGTGTTAACGTCATCGACATGGTCATTACTGGTACTAAGGGCTCGCTGACTATGAACTATGGTCCAGATCATTTCATTTGTCAGTATACGTGTGCTTGTGTAGCTCTTTCGGTACTATTGTGCTGTTGGCGCTTCGGGTCTCGCAGTGCTCCGGATGAGCTCCGGCGTAAGGCCTCAAGTTGGCGACAAGTCCTTCTATCATCCATCATGTAAGGTCGGGGTTCGGTAGTTAAGGCAGTCTATCAGCCTTGAGAGCTCCGAAGTTATCAAAGCCCCCAAGTCGACGTGAATGCTTCGGGGCCTGAACTAGGACTCACCAGTCCAGACTCTGCCTTCAGAGAAGCGCAGAGCGGCAAGACATGTGCACTTGCTGGCGGTCTCTCAAGGGGTCTCCAAAGAGGAGCTTCCGGTATGCCTACGACGTACTAGTTTCATCCAAACCGCTGGGCTTGCGAAATCGTGCGTCTCTGTTTATCCTCATCACCCAACGAGAGTCACGTCATGTAGAGCGTGGCGACAAAGACGGGACAAAGACGGCTGAAAACTTTGGGTCTTGAGTTTCGTCACACTATCCTGCAGAAGCTGTCGTTCTACTTGAAGAAGTGAGAGGGGCAGTGTATGATCGGCAACCATGGTTTTGCAGCTTTCTGACGGCACTGTACCTGTCACTGTCGATGCTGGTGACCTAGGGTGCACGTGTAACAGTGCAAGGCGTGGAAGAGCATATACCTGCTGAGCGAAAAAGTCACAACAGCTGTTGTCCAGCGAAGTTCGGGTAGCCGTACTATTCGACAAACCAGATTCCCAGTGGCCGCCTCCTAACCAAAGTCAGCATGGTATATGCTGTGCCTCTGGTTCTCAGGCATTCCCACCCTCAACTTCCAACTTCAGTTTCATTCAGGACTCCTGGGGTGAGTTGCCTGGATCGCTAAGTATGGAGCAGCATTGGCGAAACAAAGAGGTGGTGGCTGTATTTGCCTTACCACCGAACGGGCTCTTCCTGAATATCTGGTGGCTGGCATTCAAAGTTGCCAGCAGCTTCGGCGACTGTGGGCTGCTGGAATGTCCACTGTGCTTCAATGATCAGAACCCGATCAGTAAGAGAGGCTTGCGATAAGAACGTGACAACGAGGTCGTGCTTGCGCTTTGCGAATCTACTGGGCACAGCTGTTTCCGCACATCCCATCTGCAGCACGAGATTTCCAGAGCAGCAACTCACGCTTGCACCTCCTACTACTGATCCAGCACACGGCTGCAGCGCTGCGTTCTTTCGTGCCGCAGCCTCCGCGTTTCGAGAAACATGGGTCAGCTGTGGATGTAGGGCTACCACAGAAGGCGCATGTCGGAACACGGAGGCCCGTGGGTATTCGAACCAGAGCCCTTCCCACTTGGAGGATCATGGGACTTAGCAAGTAGGGTTATAAGTACCTTAATTAAGGTTATATGTACTTATAGGTGTAGTTAGTTACCTTACTGATGACCCCAATTACTAAGTCCCATGATCCTTTAGCACTCTTCAAGCACAGTTGCAGGCGGTAGTCCACAGCTTTCCGGGAAGACTCGGAGATTTTGACGACTCGATGTAGGTTTGGCGGTCTTCATCCTGCAACGCGGCCTGGGCCTGTGTACAGCAGTTTCGTCGCAAATCAAAAGCAGAGATCGAATGCAATTCGGGAGCTCTGCCAGCACAGTTCTGCCAAGGTTCCCATGCCCACGTAGGACACTTCCACAAACTGGTGCAATTACTATTGCACATGGCGCTGGGAGGGAGGACAACAGTCACCGTCCAATCACGGATGGCTGACTATACTTATTCGGGCTGGCACACGCTACATGAGTTGCTAGGCTCTGCCGAGTAATATTTTCGGTGCAGCTTCCAGAGGAAGTTGTACGCAGAGCTGGCAGCGCTAAAGTAAAACCTGCATATGTCCGCCTGCCAGCCGAGTCCACTCTACTCTGACCCCTAGAGCCAGCAAACCCAATGACAAGATGCCGACGGTGGGCAGGAAGCAGCTCACAAATCGAACCTTGAGGATTAGCAGCCGTGGTGCCAAAGTGAAGCATGGGACATGGCACAGCTGAGAAATCAAAGCGAGAGCCGACGAGGCAATCTAGCAAAGCGTTGAGGGCTCAAACCCTTTGAGTACTGGTAGTTCAGGTGGGTTCAAGAGTGAAGTTGCCCGGTGTTTTTCTCAAGAGCAGCTAAAGGTAATTGCTAGAATCTGGTAATGCCTGCCTCCTCAGGACCAATCAAAGACCCTTCAGAATAATCCGTGGGCTTCATACTTCAAGCCTTGACTAGTTCAGCAGTCACAGCTTAGGGCCTAGGGTTTAGGGGACGGTATACGAAGCTGCATAGCGGGATGCCAGCGATTGTCTCGTCTGCCCCTCTGAGTTCCGAGAGGGATCTTGCGCAACCCAACAGCCACGACCCCACATTCAGAATGAGTTGCAAGAAACACAACGCACAAACAAACACACGCTCACACAAACACAAACACACACACACACATCTCTGTACATGCACATTTGTATATAGATATAGATATACATGTTTTAATACGTACATACATACCAACCTACCTCCTACGTACATATGTACATACATGTGCACACACACACACACACACACGCGATCAATCAAACAAGCATACATACAAACAACACAACAAAGTGTGAACAAACACACTGACTCACACACCCACATGAACACACAGAGAACACAACCAAGCAAACAGTCAACCACACAATCACACATGCAGCCAAGCCAGCAAACAAACAAGCCAAACCAACCAACCAACTCATCAACCAACCAACCAACCAAACAAACAGACAAAACCATGCGCACACACACACACAGACAAACACAAACAAACAAGCAAACAAACACAAAAACCAAACAGAAACATAACCAAGCACGCAAGCACGCTAACAAGCAAGCAAACAAACAAGCAAACAAACAAGCCCACAAACAAACACACACACACACACACACACACACACACACCTAAACACACCAAACAACCAACCACGCGACCAAGCAACAACACAAACACATAAAGAAACAACCGAACAGGCTAATAAGCCCACGCACAAGGAACACAAGCAACCAAACACACGAACAAGCAACAACAGAACCAACAATTGCCAAGTAACCAAGAAACCAAACAAATAAGAACACCGAAGCAAACAGACAAACATACAACTAAACACACAAACATACAAGCTACAAATCAAACAAATAAGCAAAGACAACACAAACAATGATACAAACAAACACACACGCACACAAACACACAAACAAGCAATAACGCAAGCAAGCAAGCAAGCAAGCAAGCAAGCACGCACGCACAACAAACAAACAACCGAACAAACAAACCTCGTGCGCACACGCACACACAAGGGTACATGTGTGTGTGTGTGTGTGCAAAAATGCATAGGTACATATCCACACACACACACACACACACAGCTCAGAAAACAGGCGACAGCGCCTGATTGCTGTAGCCCCAGGTCCCCATGCCATAGCCCTACAGGGAAGGGGGTCGCTCAGAAGCCACGGCAGAGGAGTTCGCGGCTGGCTTCAAGAAGACGGTGGCATTCCAGGTGCGCACCATCAAGCTGAGCAGAGGCTCGTCAGGCGGCCATGTTGAGGAGGACACGCTCGCATGCCACACAGTAGAGGAGTTTGGGACTGGTTCCAGACTTGCGCTTTCAAGCAGAACATCAGGGGCTCGTCAACAGAGGGCATCTGGATCATCACACGGAAAGCTGGCATACATTGCACTTCACGTGATGTGATGGCGCTCATGGGCGAGTGTCACACGCTGTGCAAGTTGGCCATGTTGAACACTGGTATGGACAACACACTCGCATACTACACGGTAGAGGAGTTTGCGGGTGACTCCAAGAAGACGGAGGCCTTGCAGGTGCGCGTCTTCAAGCAGAGCTGAGGCTCGTCAAGCGAGGACATCCGCATCATGGAACTGAGAGCTGGCAACTCTGCAAGTCCTACGGAGAGGGATTCGGCACAGACGGCGAGGTGTCGGGTCTGACGACCCTGAGTCCGCATCCTCACTTAGCAAGTGAGTGATGTAACAGCGATGTTGTCTTTGAGTGTGGAGGTCGCGCAGCTTTCATGCTGTTCAGTGAGCACGGTCGCTGGTTTTAGGGCAGCAGCTTTTTGATGTCCGCAATATCACCTCGATGGAGGTGTTTGGACATCCTGGGTATATGAACTGTGTAGGGATTGCCTCATCCGATACCCATGAGGAAGATCCTGCACGTCTTAGGTCCGTTGCCGATTCTTTTAAATTTGGATTGTACGTTGTCCAGTGCTTTGATGGCCGACTACGGACTACAAAGCATGTAGGAAAGATCCCTCTGGGGACAGCCTGCTTGGCCACCACCGTCTGATGCTTTGATGGTAGCCTTTTGGTTTTGATCGGGGATGTGCTCCACAGAGATGGCTTTTGCGCACAGCGCTGCCAGTTGACTCTTTGTGGTTCTTCCTCCGTTATGTGCGACCGCTCAGATTACTGCATCACGCGCTATCAAGTAGGTCGTGAGCGCATACTGGGGATTCGCACATTTTAGAATTTGGCTGCATGTGGCGCGTTCACTGAACACAGGCCATCCGAAAGAAAGAAACACACACACACACACATTGACCATATATTCACAGCATAAACATGCTTATATACCCGCAATACATAAGTATGTACATAGATAGAGACATGCAGGCATGCACATGTACAGACGGCTTAACTCACATTTGCCTCCGTTTCCGGGTAACTACTTTCGAGGTGCGGGCCCCAAAGAGACCCTCTCGCGAAATGGAGCCAACGAGGAGCCCTGGGGGCGCGTCCAAATCAGGGTTCCAGTCTTCTCCAGTCAAGCAGATCTTGATCTTAAGGTCTAGGGTTTAGGGTTTAGGGTATAGGGTTTAAAGGGAAGTCTTGTGCGTCCGGAAGCACGAGGCTTCGTGAGAAAGATAAGCTCAATCTGTGCACCCCGTGCTGGAAGATGCCCCCCACATGCCCATGCAGAACCCCACTCACGAACTTGCGAGTGGCGCCTTGGGATTGATTCGTTTCATGCGGTTAAGTGCTGCACTTTCTTCTGATTCAATACTAAACGGAAGGGATGTTGCAAGTGATCTGCATGTTTATTTGAGTGACTTCGCATTCCTGTATGTTCGTCGCACTTGTGTAGCATGTGGCAGGCCTAGCAGGCGACCGCATTGGAAGCTGTCATGACGTCGTAGCTCAGCCTCCTGAGGCCTCAACCGGAAGACCTTCCAGTTTACTTCCAAAGTAACAGGGGGTTAATTACGCACTGAGTAGACAACATCCCAGAATCCTAAATGCAAGCCTGAACCAGATTCCACAGCCCCGTCTCAGTATCACGCTACTCTACACCCACAAGACAAACCAGAACCTAGCTGCGAAGACTCCTCCACGTAAACTCAAACTCTTGAAGGCCCCTTTCTGAATTTCCGAGTACTGAGGCCACAACTTGATGGAGATGCGCTCCTTATGTACAATGCCTGGGCATTATTGCAGAGCCTACTGCTCAGCGTGCTTACTGTGCAACAATCCACTGACTTTTGGTAGAACAGGATATCTTAGGGGGAACACCGGATGCAAGAAGCAGCAGGATCCTGAGGAATAAAGGCTCAATGCGCAGAGGTTTCCACGGAAAGCAAACCTTTGAAGTAAATCCACACAGTGTCCTCAGCTCGGTTTGGGGAGGGACCCTGGGGCGTTTCTGAAAACTCCCAAGTGCCTTTGAGCATCCGCCTTGACAATGCTAGTTCCGGTACTCGGATTTACTACTGCACTATCCTAAATACTACTACTGCTCCTGCTCCTGCTAAAACTAAACATAGTAATTGCTACACATAACTACTGATGACGGCTGCTGCTGCTGCTGCTTGTACAACAACAACTACTACTTCTACTACTACTGCTACTACTACTACTACTACTACTACTACTACTACTACTACTACTAGTACTACTACTACTAGTACTACTACTACTAGTACTACTACTACTAGTACTACTACTACTAGTACTACTACTACTAGTACTACTACTACTACTGCTACTTACCGTTACTGTGGTGCCTGCGCTTGCAGTAGCGGTGGTCGGGGTGGGTTTGTGACGCTAGTTGCGACTGTTCCTTTTTTACCATGAAAGCTGTTGTGGCAGCTTCTGGTTTGGTTGTAAGAGGCATCCGGCATACTACTTCCATGGCAGAACTGTCAAAAGCACATGGGCCCCCGGGCTTTGTGCCGAGTGCATTCAAGTTGCAAATCGCTGTCAACGCACTTTATGCTATTCCTGCTACTGGTGGTTACCACTCTTCCAGAACCCGGTGGAACTCAGGCTCGCTAGAAGCTCTTACATTTTGCTACTTGGTTGCCCTTTGTATTCAGCATCTCACTCAGCTCTCACGGGAACATGAGTATTCACAGCATTGGCGGCAAATCAGGGCAAATACCTAGGCCTTCAGCATACGTCCATGGGTTTCCCAAAAGAGTGTGGCAAAGCTCGGGCGTCCACATTGTTGGCTGCCCTTCCTTTCTTGGCACCTGTTCAGCACTGCACGAACCCAAGGTGGGATTCTGTTCTATACAGACAGCATCGCCCTCGGCCTACTACGAATACTACTGCTACTGCTACTTCTACTTCGACTTCTACTGCTACTACTACTACTACTACCACCTACAAGCATTGCTAATGCTATTGCTATTACCACTGTTCTTTTCACTGCAAGGCCTTCTTTGTCCGAGGTTGAGAGAGCCTTTGACTTGTGTGCCGAGAGGGGGCTCCAATCTGAGACTCCAGGAACATGATCGAAACCTAGACCCGGCATGCCCAGTGACGTAGGAATTAAAAGGGCTCCCTTTTTGGTATTGGGTAACCTAATAAGTACTAATAAGGAACCTCGCAGCAGGTTGGCCAGTGTGGGGTCCGATTGAGATAGTAGCGTTAGCTCCCGAGCAGCAGACGCAAAGTATAAGCTCAATTGCAAGACATACCTGTGATGAGCCGTAGACCTCAAAGGGCGTCACTCGAACAATTAGCATGCTGGTTAGTCGCTGAGGCAGTTTGGGTAAACAGCAACCGAGCGCTAATGCTGACCATTGCTTCGACATGGCTGCATGTGCATCACACAATCTCGGAAATCCTTATGCATTGCTCACTACTGCTTCATGCAGAAAAAGGGGGGTGCTGATGGAAAGACCCTGCCTCAACCTCGGACCTAAGATTGACATGCGGACAGGATTGGGGCTTTGTCCCTTCATAGAACGAGTTGAAAACTGATTAAATGACGTGCAATGCGACAAGAAACACAAACGTATGCAAACTGAAATGCGACCACGACGTTGCCATCGTGCAGGCAGTGCATCGTCTGCTAGCCCGCACTGATTCGGGCAAGATAGCTGCCACCATCAGGAGTGCCATCATCGACACCATCACAATCTCGATGACCGTATTCATCTTTGTCGTTCTTTGTTAAGGATGGTTGCATTTCAATACCCACATGCGCGCCACTGCCGACATGTAGAGCTCACACCTCTGTTCGAAGAAGCCCAGGTGCCTGTTCGATTAGCCTCGAACGCCTTTCAACGGGGCGGCAGATGTCTTGCCATTGACCTCAGCAAGCCCGACACAACTTGAGAAAAACATCCCGAAGAGCCCCACCGTCTTAGGGCAGCCCCTAATGAAGGGGCCTAACAGGGTGTTGCCGCCCGTTATACCCGTCTTAAGGCAGCACCTAATGAAGGGGCCTAACAGGGTGTTGGCGCCCGTTATACCCGTCTTAGGGCAGCACCTAATGAAGGGGCCTAACAGGGTGTTGGCGCCCGTTATACTATGACCTATGATAAGGAGCCCCCAAGATAGTCTTGGTTTTTTATTCAAGGCCCCTACATTAGTAGGCAGCTGTAGGCTCCAGGATGTCAGTTCTGAGTGGGGGAGTTGTTCATAGCTCGGCTTTGAGCTCGGAGCTTAGAGAGCCTCATCCTTGCATCTCTCGCATAGCCAGGCTACGCCAGGATCGGGGCCTATTGACGTGCTGAACATGGGAGTTTCCGAAAATAGGGGACCCTAATATAGTATCCCGAATAGTAGGATCCGTATTATAAGGACCCCAAAATAAGGTACCCCTAATTTTCGGAAACTCCCACATACCGCATACTTCTGCTACAACCCGCTCACACTCTGACAACAGCCACCGCGGCTCGGCTACTTGAACAAGGCAGATTTTGCTCGACGGTTCAGGTGGCCGGTTCTCAGATCATTTCAGATTCCTCGGGGCTAGCGGCTAAGTCTTCCAGTCATACTGCAACCAGTTGAACTGTAAACAAACACTTCTTGCATCCTAAACTGCGCTTGGTCGGGCATACTGAACCTCCTTCCAGCACGTCGGGCTTTCTCTTTCTCTCCTCGCCGGACATGGTCTGGCTAGGAAAATCGATTCGGAGCGCAGTGTCGCCTCAAGCAAGCCAGGGATCAGAAGGTATGGCTCGGCTTAGACCGACGTGCTGTGCATATGCTCAGAGGAGGCTTGCGACAAGGTTTCTCAATATGTTGGAGCCTCGGACAGCTGGGTCGGGACCTGGGAGCACTAGCTCGACTGTGTGACTACTTCGGTGTTGCAGCGAATGTTTGCTGCAATGATGCTGTGCGCACACTGCCGGATTGAGTCTCACCTGCACAATCCTGCACAACTCTGTGGCTGGTGCTCTCAGGGACCTGTAATTTTGCTAGTGGGCTCGTCGACCCCAATGGGCTGCAAACTCGCTGCAACCATGTCGATGCGACAAAACCCATAAGGCGGGTGACATCCAGCCACAAGGAAAGATGCAAAGACCGTAACACAAAACCTCTGAAGACTGTCCAGCACCTCAGTCGGCGCAAGTTGGAATTGGACCACACATGCTGCTTGGCTGCAAACGCCCCACCGGCACATGAACTCATTATGCATCCTATACTTCAATAACATTCGACGCATCCTGAACCCTGACTTACGCCTCCTGCTCGAACCATCCGCGCTTTCACAGCAGCAGGGTCGACAGGAGCTGGCAGCACCTAGGCTGGTTCAGTGCTACCCCTGGTGTTCCACTTTGTGAAACGTGTGAAGCCCCTAAGATGATAACCAGCCGGTACATCAAGGGTATATATGCAAAGATTGAGCACATGTGTCTGGGCTGGACAGGAGGAAACTCGATGAGTTGGCTGCAGCTGTTTGGCGCCGCTCTTCAGTGCATGTTCGACAGTCCTTGTGGAAACAGTTGCTTAGCACAGGTCCAGTAAAACATGACTCATCCAAGTGCTGCTAACCGGGTGAGCAATTATGGGATGACTGCTCAGACGTATCTAGAAACAGGACCGCAGGCCTTGCCGATTGTATGAGTTTGCTGACACAGCTTTTACATTTTTCACCGCAGTGTTGCCTCTGAGATGTGACCAAGTTTTCCTGCCCAGTCAAAAATTTAGTCTTGATTCGCCCGCTGGGCCGTGCTACTGTGGGGGGTTGCTGCCTCTTATTGTTGCTGCTCTTCTCGTAAATCCAAGGTGCCTGCAACAGGTCCACCTCCATTTTTTCGCGGCCTGCTCAGGTCTCACACGTGACAGCAGGCGCCTGCAACATGTAAAAGCCGAGGCAGCATTTGCCAACCAAACAAGCCGTCTGCAGGACTGCCACTGAGAATTGAAATCCGCTACCGAACCAGCCTGACGAGAACTGTGGCGACTAGCGAACAAAGACAGCTGGCCCTCACCGCCCACCGCCTCACCCTTTGCCATCGTAATACAGGGGCAAAGCGAGCACACACAAAGGTTTCTAGACTTCCACAACAGCCAATCCTCCGAGCTGGGTTGAACGGACGGCCACGCCACGAAGCTCCGATGATCCCGTCTGTCACACCGGCACTCCAGACTCTAGATGGTAAAGCCGGCTAACTGAGGCCATTCTCGGGTAAGCCAACCGAGCTGAGTACGGCCTGATGGAATTTCACCTTCGCAGCTCTGACGACCCCCCGGTATCCCCCGGTACCGTGGAAGTGCTAGTCCCAAGAAAATCTGGTCTTGGATCCAGTTTCGTTTGAGCATTTGAGCTAACGGCTCTTGTCTAAGCAACACCTCGAGCCGGGACACCTGCTACACTAACTCCATGCATGCGGTCCGCAGGAGTCGGAGAATTACGTGCCGCAAACGATGAACCTACAGCAAAACAAGAAGCACTTCAGGCACCTCAAATCCTGTCGTCTATGTATGCAAGACTTATGGGGTCCCCCAGCCCGTGAACCTGCGAACCCACGCAACCTGAAGTTGCCCCTCCGCAGGCCTCTTGCCGCTGCCTCTGGTCCGGGCGCGAGGCGCAGCGTGGCAGCCGCCACGTCGACTTTGGCGTCCGCACCGTAACCTTGCAAGGCAATCGAAACTTACAGTTGCCCAAGAGTATATACATAGCGCAAGAAATCAGAAAGGGAAGATACCATGGAAATTCACATATCCGAATTCCTGCATCCGACGCAAATACTTCCGGACTCCCTATCGCTGACTCAGGGCTTGCTCAAGGAAGCCCTGACATCGTTGCTGTCAGTTGACTGCGATGTCGCAGCCCTTGTGCAATTTGGTTTGAATTTTGGCCAGCTTCGCTGTTCTTTTCCCGCGAAGTATACGTAGGTGCCTTATTTGATAGAATGTGGTTTTGGGGTGTATTAAACTAAAACTGTAAGGGGAACTGTAACTGTGAGGGGATAAGACAAGTGACAGCCACTCCGCATTCGTTGTGCCAGTGCTTCAAATGAGACACCCACTATTCAAATACGGGTCCAAGCACATTATCCGGGTCCCGCGGCAAAAACCGTACAGATGCTTCAAGACCGGCGCGAAACCCACTAAAATCCCAAGGATGCAGATACGCACCAGAACTAGAACCCTCCCTGTCTGAATGACAGACATCCGACTAAGCGCCGCACCAAAGATAAGGAGCTGCCATCCTCACAAAGGCCGAAGTGTGTAAACGGCTTGGTCTGGAGGCTATACATGATCTCGGATGTGGGACTTGAAGGGCTCAGCTGTACCTGGCTTATGGCCATTCGTTCTCGAGGGAAAGATCGTCGTAATCTCCACAAGCAGCTCCGGAAACTTGAACTGCAATTCATAACACTTGGCCACTCCGGCAAACTGTCCCAACCACAACACCACGAGGAGATGATGTCCACAGGTGCAAGGACAGCTTTCCTGTATAGGAGCTATGAAAGCCAGCATGCAGTAGTTGCTCGTGCAATTCCGCAAGCATTCACAAACACTCCGACTTCTCATCATCTCAAACAATGATTTGCGAGCTTGTGATTGTGTGAGACTTTCCCACGTGCATGAACCAACTGCTACAGAGCTCGAAGAATATGAAGTGAGGCGAAATCTTGGTCGCCAATTGGAGTTTGCTCCGAACTAGAATCCAATTTAGGAGGGCTTGTCGTACTTACGGCCATTTGCTATACCCCCCCTGGGAACCATAATAAGAAGATTATTTTCAATATTCTCTTGGGTTTTATATGAACAACAACTACTTCTTAGAAGGAGACTATAGTTTGTATCATGGGTGCCTTGCAGCGATTTCCCGAACTTGATCCAACGGTTAACCAAGCAGCCATCCCCCTTTCTCTTCCACTGGCAAATGCCCGGCTCGTCGGGTCGACCTAGGCTGGGCGCCGGTCTCCGCGGGTGACGGTTGGAAGTCCCGGAGGCTTCCTGTGAACAGATCCTGTGCAGAATTGAATGATTCGCGGACATATTGGTTAGTTTGCTTCTTGAATGAGGCTTGGGGTCCAAGCAGTTCAAGAAGGTGGCCGAGGCTAGTGCAAATGTGCTGCCTCGAAACGGAACCAGACATGAGGACACGACTGCAGCACCTAACCTGCCTCTGAACTCTTGTGTGGCATGGGCCCCCGACAATCCCTGCAAATTCCTATTCGCCCAATGCCACCGGCATGCAATCCCCTTCCTGTCTCTCCTTCAAACGAGTAACTCTCCGGCCGTGAAGGTGTCGCTTGTACCTCTGTGTCGGCCTGCAAACGACAGCTGGATGTTGAAAGGTGAGTCACGAGTTGTGAACATCAGGGTCGTGTCTGCACACACACACACAACCAATAAGCATACGCTAACAGTGACAAAGAAAGTCAGACTGGTTTGATGATCGGATATCGAGCATGCATCGCACTACTGAAGTTTCCCAGGCTACCAGCTAGACACGGCAAGTAACCGGTAAGTCAACCCTTGTGACCTTTTTACACGGGGGACTTGGGCCAAGTGCAGTCGCGTACAGACATAGCTAAGGACCATAGGAATAGCAATGGAGGCAGGGTAAAATCTACACCCCCCTCGCCGTGCTGCTCGAGCTAAGGCGGATAGTACATGGCTCCAGGTTGCCCTGGGCTTCAACGATTTTGAAGACTTGCCAAAGCGAGCATTTATAAAGCACAACGGGGAAGCCCTGCAGGTCCGAAGCAAATCAAAATGAGGACTCAGCGCCTATGGGTGCGGTTCCATGCATCCCACTCGGCCTGAGTGTAGCCTCCACGACGCTGGCGATAGTACTCGTCCCACTGGGCCTGAGTATAGCCTCTATACATTGGCTCAGGTGCTGTCGTGCGACCACGTCCCTTTTGGGATGGGCGGTTCTGGACTGCAGCCTGGCGATTGCGCTCTGCCAAACGTTCCGTTTGGTCTGTCTGGTTCTGAGCACTACGGAGGCTATCGGTAAGAATCTGGCCGATCTCAGTTGTGATGCCTTCAGTTGTGGTAGCCGACACATAGACCTCGCCGTCGAAAGTCAGGATCCTTTTCGCAGCATCATTCACTGCTGCCACCTCAGCATAGAGTCGCGGAGGGAGGAATGCTCCGAGGTAGGTCAAGCCGATGGGGACATCCGCGGTATCATCGATAAACCGCAAGTTCCTCAACGGCTCCACTTCGCAGTGGGCATAATAGACCAACTTCGCTGGCGGGACATTGCCACCACCATAATGGGAGCCGGCACGCAAGTAGCGCTGCTCCTCGCTGCGTCCTGGATCGGGTAGCACAGCGTTCGACAGGTGATCGAATTTCTGCATGTCCTCGAAGTTGCGGCCCTCTTGCATCATCCTCACGTTGAACTGCGCGTCCTTCTCGAAGCGGTCGGACACGGTGTCAAAGTTCAACTTGGCGGCCCTGATCTTTCGGTCTTTGGCGTCACGAATGGCGGCAGCCTCTGCGCTCATCTGACCACGCTTCTTTGGTCCCTCGCCCAGGCCTCGAAGGTCACTCGCAAGGAGATCATCGATGGGCTTCTGAGCTCCGGTTGCAGCGGTGGCAAGAAGGCGCTGGCGAAGTCTCGAATTCTCAAAGACTCGCTTCGTGATCTTCTTAGAGTCATCCGTCTGGGGAGCCTTGCAACGGAGGCAGAACAGCATGCCATTGGCGACGACTGCTGCGCACTCACGGCATGGGTGTGAGCCAAGTGGGTATGGCTCATTCTCACCCGCATCCGTTGTATCGCCTTCGTCGACTTCAACCTCAACCTCAACCTTGGTTTCGTCAAGGTCGAATGCACCAGCATCATCAGCAGGCTCACCCTCGCGGGTGGCTTCATCCAAGTCCATGCTTTCGTCTTTTTCGGCGATTGCGGCGGGCTTGGGAACCACCTTCGGCATCTTCTTTGAAGCAATCGCTTTGGGAGCGATAGCCGCCTGTTTTGGAGGCGGTGCCGATGATGAGCTTGCTGCTGCGGCCTCCTCATAGTCGCGCTTGGCGCGGAAAATGCGCTCTGGCTCACCCTCGCGGGCGGCTTCTTTGTGCTCGGCGACATAGAGCGGGAGGTTCTTCTTGCTGGTGTCGACGGCGGACAGCACGCAATCGGGCGGCACATTGTCCCGTGTGAGGACGCCGTCTGTCTCCGTGACGAAGAAGACACATCCAGCGGCGATTGCTCGCTGCGTATCTATCGTCAGCTCGATCGGCTGGTTGGAGCGCATTCCACTCTTGTAGTGGGTGTCGTCCAACTTGTACGGGGACAGGTAGTTGTGGGACCTGTCTGACCTTGCGGAGCCGGCGATCATGCCATCGCGGAGGATCCCCTTCATTCCCTTTTCATTCGTGCGATGGAAGAGCTTCGGGGGGGTATCCTCACGGGAGAGTACGGTGACCCCCCTGACGCTGCTCTGCAGGTCGGCCTCGTACTCGGACAATCCGCTGTAGAACCTGGTCGCGAGGAAGAAGTCCGCGTCCGGGTTATTGCCGATGAGCTTGGAGTTGTGCCCTTGGGCCATCCTCACCCGCACAGGGAATAGCGGCTGACCCAGGGTGTCCTTCATGGGGACATCAATGCCCAAAAGCCTGATCCGTCCCTTGTTATCGGCTTTCGCTGCTCGTAGCAGCTGCCTCACACCCCAGCGTGCGTTCCGTGCCGTGTTGAAGACCTGGAGCAGAGTGTCAACGTCTGCCCAGCACCCACGGTCAAAGATCAATGCAGGGAAGTCGTCCATTTCATGGCCACGCAGCAGCTTGGTGAGGAACTTCAGGTCACCGTGTTTGAACGTCACGTGCCTGTCTCCCACAATGTCCTCCGGATTGAAGGGCTTCATCAAGTGCTTCTTGCCGTTGTAGAAGTACTCATTCGGAAGCTCTGGCACAGTGGCAGCCCCTTGCGGGGCGCTTTCATCAATGAACATGAGCCTTCGCATGGCGTCCTCATCGCGGTCAGACTTCTTAGTCTTCTTGGGAGGCGCTGGCTCAATGACACGTCCAATCGATGATGGGATGGGGTCGACTTGGTCGCCCTCATCCACCAGTTCCACCGTGCCCGGGGTATTGTAGGATACCTTACCGTCTGCGTCCTGGGTGACAATGTCATTGACGCACTCCGCAACAGCACTAACATCAGTGGTTGCACCGATCCTTGGCACATCCTTGCGGATGGCTTTATCCATGGGTGGCCCCTCGGAGATCTTGGTGACGTCGGTTGCGTCAGCGGCATCTGGGGCTTCCCACATCTTGTCCTCCTGGGTGACCGGCATTGGCTTTGCCTGTTTCGGGTTCATGAGCTGGTCCTTCTCCGCACGCCACTGCTTGAAGACATCCTGGAGCACTGGATTGTTGGCACCGGAGCCAGTCTCAAAGTGCTCATAGCGAACAAGCAAAGCCCTGACACAGGGTGTCATCTTCTGGGCAAGCCATTCGCTCCTGCTTGCATTGAAAGTGGCATGCAAGTAGGTCTGGAATAACTCGCGGTTGCGAGGGTCTTCACTGGCGTGAAAGCTGTCATACATTTCCAGCTTTTCGACCAAGGAGCTCGCGGTTTGCACTTGCAGACCGCGCTGCCTGAACTCTTCGAACATTGCGGCATTGAAGTCGTTGTAGGCTGAGTGGAGTTGGAACAAGTCCGCCTCCACCTGCCCAATCACCTTCACAAAACCAATGTCCGGCTCGCCCGCGAGGGCGGCTAAAACATCCGCTGCCCTTCTCACTTTCCGGGCGACGGTCTCCGTTGTGACATTGGGATCTCTATAGGCGAGTCCCGGTCCTAGCCGCGTGGGGATGCAGCCCCACTGGCCGGAGATCTCGTTCCCGCACCACCAGCAGATCACGTCGATGGTGTGGTCCGGATAGTTGGTCCGAAGCTCCTTCACATGCTCCTCGACCTGCCAGACAATCCACGCCAAGGTTTTGCCCCAACACATGGTGTAGCGAGTCTGTGCCCATCCCAGCGTCATGCTTGCGATGTTCACTTCCGCATCCAAGTCGGCCTTGACGAACACTCCCCGCCTGTTCTTCTTGCAAAGTGCAGTGGAGCTGTCTGACACGACTATGATGGCTCGCTTGGCCTTGGGGCTCAACCTTGCCGTTGGCTTCAACTTGGCGAGTCCCTCGTCACTGAGGTCAGCCATCAGGCGCAGAGCCACACAGGTTGCGTCGGCATGGGTCAAGGATACCCCAGCCGCGCATTGTGTGGATACGCAGCTGTACGCCGACTCCAAGAGCTGGCTCTCATGATCGGCGCCTAGCGAAATGATATCGTTGTTGAGGGCGGCGGATTGGAGAATGGTTTTCATGGCCTTGGTAACTCCAGCCCTGTCTGCTTCGGAGGTGTTGACCCTGCAGAACTCGTCGCTCACAACGATGGCTGCCATCCTGGGGATCGTAGAAGTCTCTTCGGGCAAGTCGGGAAGATCAGAACCAGCTGAAATTGCAATGGCAGGCGTGCACATAAAGGAAGTCAAGATTTCATGGTCAAGGCTTGCAGTTTGTTGTGTGTTTGTGCACTCGAGCGATGTGTGTGCAAACGAATCATTTTCGAAACGAGAACACGGTTTGTTAAGCCTACCCCCCTCATCGAGAGGGGAACCAACACACCTCAAACAAACCATTGCCTTCTGAGCTGGGAGCTTCAACTGAGCCGTAGGCAAGAGGAACTGTGATTGATGTAGGAATTGCTTTTGCTTTTTGTTGAACTTCTGGTACCCCCCTGAAGAGTAGGCGATGAAGGAATGTCGTTCGCCAGTGTAGGGTTGTACACCATGTTTTGTCGATGGATGCAACAGAGTAGGCTTGCGGTATGTGCAATTGTAGCCTTTGTGGTCTTTGCCATGATCATCCGTGTATATTCCCGGTGGTCCCAACTGGCTCGCGCCCTCAATCCACAGTGTCCCCCCTGTATAGTTACCGAAGGAGAACGTCAGGTTGTACGATTCTTTCTGATTGTACTTATCCGTGTGGATGCGGGCCTTGCCATTGAAGTTGAACACGAACGAAGTCCATGTAAACCCTTTCGGAGATGATCGCTTAACAAATTCATTCACATACCTGCAAATCCATGGGTAATGTTTTGTGCGGTTGGTAATACCAAAGCACCCACCATGGACCCAAGCGCCGAATACCAAGTATTTGGATATCTTCTCAGAAGCCATAAACGATCGCGGTTTTGCCAATGATGCCTTGAGATTGGTACGAATAAGCCCAGCTAGCTTCTCGAAGGTCTTGAAGCTGTAATCGTTAGCCTCGAACGATTGTTTAGCGAAGTCCTCGACAACCT